GTTAGGAAAGCGGTTATTTAGACTGGGGCATTTAATTGAAGTAACACTAGCTTACACAGTGGTCAACGAATAGACGTCAATCGAGGGTTCCGAGTTTTTAATAGTGTCGACGAAATACTCCAAGTAGTAAATGACTTTTTTGTTTTCGTCCATGATGGTAAATAGTCAGTCATAGGGTGTCTGTGTTTATCCGTTTGTAAACACAGCTTAGATCGTATACAAAATCCGCCGTTATCATTGCAGCATTTTATGAGTCTCCATGGTAGCGTAGAGAACTACATGATTTTGTTTTCACGAAAGGTACAGTAGACAGCATATCTGATGAAATATGGATATCAACATTTGAGTGGGAGCTTTAATACACATTTAAGGTTGTTTATTTTGTTCATTGGGTTGACTTGAGGCGAAAAATGCTGTTTACTAGGAACGAACTCAATTCAGATGAGTATATTTGGGGGAAATAGGGACGGGACTGGGCGAAATCCAGCGTTTGTTGATATCCGAGGAATTTCCTACGCTATTTAACGCTGCGGAAAAAAGGTTTCTTGTTTGTGTAGAATATTAATAAAGACCAGAAACCCTTTAATTATGTGTTCACAAAACAGAAACATTTGTTTTGCATCCATGAAATTGAGGTAAATTAACCGAAGGGGTAACGCATTATTGTCGAGAAAAGAAGAACGGTGTCAGTTGATGAAATGTTTTCTTATAAATCTGTAACGTTTTGTGCCTTAAACATAAGTAATAATTTTACGAAACCGACAGTTGTTTTACTATGCCGAAATTACTGGCCGCATTTGACTGTACGTGAACTTTTGCGGAATGTCATGAGTTTTCTCTGTAACGCCGTAAAAGAACCCCGTCCACATATTTTTCAAAATAGAGAAGAGAATCAATGAATATAAAAACTTGAAACGGAACAGGCAGAAACTCATGACGTTTAAAAATATCGAAGGATATATTCTGTCACTGTTGTGCGTTTGCAATCAAACAACAGTGCCCTGAAGTAAAAAAAATATGCTGAAAACTGCTCCAGTTTACATAGAACAGTAAGTTCTTTCATTTGCAGCAGAGTATTTATCCATAAATTTTAGGGAAGTAAAAAAAAGCAGTTCAAAATATCCCATTTTGATCTTGACCTGATCGTCAAACAAGGTATAATTCACAGATAGGCGACGCCGAAATATCTAACTAAAGCCCTTTTTGAGGAGGTAACGTCCTATAGGAAGTTTTCTTAAAATAAATCTTAGGCGTAGTTATTTTCGACTTTTGTTGTGGACGTTTATTTTTCTCGGTAATGAGTTGACATGCTTGGGTTATTCTAAAACATTGACTCCAGCATAAGGAGGAATGTTTAAAAACCCATTATTTAGGTAAATGCTTTTGAGATCTTTCTTATTGTAAATTTTTTGGTAACTGGGACAACAAAATTGGTATATAGGGACAAAAGAATAAAAAATTGAAATTCGTTAAGTGTTAAGCAGAATTCGAAGGGCAATCTGCAGCTCATTTGAACTCTCGAAGTAATTGCAAAGGAATGTGACGAAAGGGAATTTCTTTCAATAAACACTTGAATTTGAATTTAATTTACTTACAAGTACAACCATAATCTAACATTTTAGTAACCTATCGACCTTTCCGTCTGTGGCCCCCAATCTATTTTTATTCCTACCAACAGCCCGGATCTGATTCCCATAGAAAATATTTTTGCAATTGTCATTATACATTAGCATAAAGCACGGACGGATTCTTTCGTGCCTGTTTCCATGTTAATGGAAACTTCGTAACTTATACGCATTTTGTATTTGTACCTATTCTGTATAAATTTACCATTCTTTTGCGCTCCCATATCTTGAATACACTCATATTTAACATTGGATCAGTGACTTGTCACATAGATATTACCGCAGTTTTGAGCTTTTGTGTGAAAACTAAATATTTTTATGTCAGTAAATGGTAATTTGTAACAGTAATTTGTTAATTTTTAAATTATGGTCCCTTATTTACTGCTATAACTTCGCGCAACAGAAACTTTCTGGTCGATACCACGACATTTCATAAGATATTCAAGCTACTGTATGTAGCAGGTAGTTTGGGCACTCTAGGCGCAGGTCGCGTTCGAAATTATTTGGGAATGAAGAATTTTTTCTAAACCTTAAGTTACCATTTTTGGCCTATAATATGTAAAGAAAACGTCATTTTCTGCCAGATCAGTACAGGAAAGTATATTTTTATTGATGCCTTC